GTGCAATGAATCTAAAATATATGAAAGTTTAATGTTTATCAGTACATTACAGAAAATAATGAACTTTATCACAATATGCTAATTTTTTGAGAAGGACCTGTATGTCAAGCTGGTTTTAAATTTATCATCAAAATGTTTTGTATTTTGTAATGGTTCAGTATTTCTGCATTTCTATCAGTCTGTTAAGCACATATATCTATTATACAGTATTTTATGGTGGCTCAATCACATATTACACAAATAATTATTAATAATATTCTGAAAACCTTTCAAAATGCACAAGAGCTTTAATTGTTAAATTAAGTAGCACTTTACCAGTGGTGGGCACAGATCCACTAAATCATCAATAGAGGAACTGATTTCCTGATTAGTGCTTTAGGGCTTTTGCTAAATTTAAAATTTGAGTGGATTAGCCCTTGCTAAATTTAGAAGCACTAACTGAGATCTATAAATGTTATTGATCCATTAATTTTAACAGTGTGAAATCTGTCACATGTTTTGTTCATATGTCACTTAACCACCAGGTGACAATTTATGGACAATATATGAACCCAAGTACAGCTGTGGAATGTCAATGATAAGTCTTAAGAGAGCAACATGATAACATGTGACTCTTTGTCTGTTGAAGGTTCATGGGTTGACTGGGTTATTTTAGTGCTTTAGAATTAGGGGACCTAAATATTTGAGTTAGTGTTTTAGTGCTAGTGAAGTAATTTTTAGATTAGTGCTGCCCAACACTGCACTTTACTCTTTCATGAAGCCTCATCTTTTATTGTTCCATTCAGGTGAAATGTAGAAGGTCAACCAGCAGATGGCGCAACATTAAACTACAAAATGCAACACAATGCACCCATTTTAACAAAGTTCTTCATCAGTTGTTCAGAAAGATCTAATTTCTTCATCACTTCATGTGTATGATGATGATGATGAACGTATCAGTCCTGATCAGCAGGTCCAGTCAGTCCTGATGTTTAACTCTCAGAGGACTGATACATCCAGCAGCTTCCACACACATAAACCTCTGTGACCATCATCTGCTTTCAAAATATGACAAATGAACTGAGTTGATTGGTTCTCTTTGTAATGAACTAATTTACTTCCAGGTCTGGTTCTGTTTCTAGTATCAGGTTTATAAAACTGATTAGCTCAGTTTGGACAAAGAGCTTTGTCTCTTCCTCTTCACTCTGTGGTTGATAGAGGTTAATAACTGTTGACTGAACGTCAGGTAACTGGACTAATCTTTGCCTCTGTCAGGACTCCAACTTCATGAGTGCCACAGGCCTGTTGAGCGGCAGCGTGAAGCGTTTTTCCACCATGGTCCGATCTGGCAGAGACAACCGCCGTCTCCTCTGCTACGTCTCCCTGGGGCTGGTCGTCGTCTTCTTCCTGCTCTACTACCTGGTTTCAAGGATCCAGCGCTGACCGTGACGTGGAGCACGGACTCCAGCTCTGTATATACGTTTAAATAACCTCTGGTCCTCTGCGTTTTATCCGGCACCGAAGTGGGAACAAGCTGGACATTGAAGGGCAGTGGTTGTGCGAGCTGCTGCAGGACAGGTGCTGCTCACCTCTGGAACTTGTGTTGTCGAGGCTCCTGGACTAGTTTTTGTGGGGGGGGGGAGTAAATGAATCTACACACTCCTGCTTGTAGATCTGCTGTCTTCAATCAACTTTTTGAAGCCAGGAAGTCCAAATTTGGGCAGAGAGTAGGCGGAGCCTGAGTGGCATCCAATGATAAATAAAAAAAGTTGTTTTTTTTAAATAAAAAGAGCTGTGTCTCAGATTCTGACCAAACAACAACCTGAATGCCAGGAAGATAGATTTTTTTTAAACTTCAAAATAAAAGCATCAGTTTCTACCAAATGAAAACTCCTGATTAGTTCATGTTTAAACACCACCACTTATTTATGTTGGTCTGTGTGTTAATCTGAGAACACAACTGACCTGACTGGTTTTGGCTGATCTTTGGTGGCAGCAGTTTTCTTTTGTCTTCATTTATTTATTTATTTTTTATTTTTTTGGTATAAAAATGTTTACTTGTGATTTTGTTTTTGTTTGTCGTTGTTTTCTGACATTACATAAACTCTGTCTTTAACTAGTTTTACTGGAACATTTTCAACCTTGTTTATTTTAAATCAACTCAGATATTTTTGGATCAGTTTTCTGCTGATAGAGAAGGATTTAATGAAACTAATGCATACACACTAAGCTGATCACATTTATTGCAGAGTGTTTAAAGCTTTAATGTGGTGTTTATGTGGTATGCTGACAATGTTTTGATGTATTTTGATAAAAGAAATGCATCTATTTATTTTCACAATCATGACTCGTACATCAATATTTTATTTTCTTAACCAAATTTCAATAAATGGAAAAAAAATAGCTTATTTCAAATTTGATTTTTGTTGCCTATAAGTTTTTCTTGGTGTCAAAAAATAAATAAAAAGAAACTTTACCAAACACTTATAATGAATTTTAAAAAACGATATTAAAGTGCAGAAAAGGGAACGTGCTCCCACATGCTGAATAAAAGGCCGAAACAGAATCACGATTTGATCGCTTCGGGTCAACTCGTCTTTTTCCGGCATTTTCCGGTGTATCGTTCCTGACATGAGATAAAGAGCGGCCTTTGTGTTCCTGCGGTTAAACTGCTTTATTCTTTCACGTTTCTTCTAATTTCGTGGTCGAAGCACCGATCTGAGCGATTTCAGCCGACTGGCTCTGCGCTCGCGCCCGGGTTTCTCGCTTGTTCTTCGGTTTCGTCCGAGCCTCGGCGAAGCTCGTGGCCGCTCTGTTCCGAGGCCGCTCGGACACATTCGGCTCCTCTCGTTTCCCGGAACAATGGACGAGGCTGACTCGGCGACGAAAGCGCTCGGGCTGGACGAACCGCCCATCGACGGGCCGCTGGTGGAGGGAGTGAGCTCGGATACGGAGTCGGAGGCCGAAGTCGCCCCGATGGCTGTGATGGCGGAACCGGGAAACATCGACATGGGAGCCGAGTCTCTGCCGAACTCTGACGAGGCCGAGGCGACATTCGCAGGTAGGTAGACCTCAGCTGCAGCAGGCGGCCATTGGGCTTCAGGAGGGCGCTAAACACACAGCACTGACAGTAGACTGTTTAATCAAATGTCTGTTATTTTGATAAAAGTCAAACATTTGAAGTGTTTCATCATTAGCTTGATTGTTGTAGTAACCATGGACTGCACCGAAAAGTACAGCAACACCAAACTCTATTCAGTGAAACAGTTCTTTAACTTTGTCAGCTTCACAGTAAGCACATCTTTTAAAAGCTGTAGTTTGTTACAGCTTAGCATGCTGGTTTTACTAATCTTCTCTAATTCGGCTGAAACAAACATGAAGAAAAAGAATAGTTTTAAGAGTTTTCATTCTACAAAACTCTGAATATGTAGATTCTTAACTTAAAGCGTTTCATTATTATTGACAAATGAGAGGTTAAAAAGTATATATTTAAAACATTAACACTTTTTGTCAGCATTACAATTTTCCTGTTTTACTTTTTATTTTTCTGTACTATTTAAGTGCGTGTATTTTTGACCATTCAGCTCATTTAGTGAATTAGTGCCATGACTTAGTTTTTTATGCAACTTAAACTTTTCAAATTATTTAACTTTATTGTCACTAAGATCTTTTAATTTACATAAACATTGATCTATATAAGATCTGATTCAGCATGCTTGCTGTTTTGTCTTCTTTTGTTACTTTTAGCTAGAAAACTGCCAGTTTTAGCTTCTAGCCAACCTGTTGATACTTTTAGCTAACGTTTTGTACCTTTCAGCTACTTTTTCCTGTATTTTTGGCTTTCAGGTAGTCGTTTGCTCCTTTTAGCTTTAGGTAGCCTAATGTTACCTTTAACTTTTGGCTACCATTCTGCCACCTTTAGCTTTCAGCCAAGCCTTTGCTAATTCTAGCTTCTAGTCAACATTTTGATACCTTTAGCTAGCCTTTGTTACTTTTAGCTACATTTCTGTTATTTCTTGTTTTTAAGTAGCATTTTGCTACTTTTAGCGTTTAGGTAGTCTAACGCTAGCTTTACCATATGGCTACCATTCTGCTACTTTTAGCTTTCAGATATTTTTATACTTTAAGCTAGTGTTTTACTGTTAGCCATTTTTTCTGCTAGTCTAAGTTTTATCCAGCTTGTCATTACTTTTAGCTAGTCTTTAATAATAAATGTTTTGCTGAAGCCCGTTGCTTCTTTTAGCTCACCTTTTTGCAACATGTAGCTTTGTAGCAGTGTTTTGCTATTTTGTCTTTTAGCTGCCATCTAGCTTCCATTAGCTAAAAAGTGCTGTTTTGCTTATTTTTTTAGCTGATGTTCTGCTCCTTTTAGCCTTACCAACTCATTTTCAGCTTCTTCATCAGTTCCAACTTAGTTCTTCATCACTTAGGATTTGCATCATATTTTTGTGGAAAATGAAATTTCTCTAGTTTTTAAATTTGTTGTATAAAAATGAAGAATGATAAAAGAGGGTTAGGCAAAACAAACAATATATGTGCTGCACAGTATCTGTGAAAATAACAACTCTAACTGGAACTGAATGAACTTGTTGATTAGAGGTGGCGACGGTGACGGTGGCAGGCGTTAACGCAGCGGAGGACAACGTTTTCACCACGACGGTCGCCGCGTCAGGAACCCTTCCGGAGCACGTGCTGGTATTTAAAACCCACTGACGATCAACTTGTGCTTATGTTTTCTTTGTTTTATCATCTGCACCTTGTTTGTCTTATAAACAATGCTGCAGCAAGACATCAGWCAAGAAGCTCCACAAAATAAATCACAGTACACCATTCAACAAAAGAAATCCACCAGGCTTTTTTTCTAATAACTGCTGAACCTAAATAAAAATGAGGCTTGTTGAAACGTATGAGTTCACAGAATAAAAGGAAACTTCAGAGGTAAAACATGAGCCCTACAGGTGTGTTTTCTGTGTTTAGAGCGGCAGAACCACTCTCCAGCTTGGTGAGGGTCTCGGTACCCAGAAGACCACTCTGATCGTGGTTCACACTGACGGCAGCATCGTGGAAGCTGCAGGCCTGAAGTCTGCTGCCACCATCACATCAGGTACACCTGCCGTGTGGGAGCTGTTTGTGTCGGGATCCGAGGCTGATCCAACTGATCCCTGTCCCCCTGCCTGTCCTGCAGGACCCCAGACTCCCTCCACTCCGCTCACTCCACCACAGGACAAAGACTCTGGCTCCAAGTACACCTGGGACCCCTCGGTTTACAACAACGAGCTCCCGGTCCGCTGCAGGAACATCAGCGGGGTTTTGTACAAGAATCGTCTGGGATCAGGTGATTAGAGCAGAGTTTGATGGTTTGACATCATTCTCCACTTTTCCTGGAGAACAGGAGGTCTGTGGATCTGTAATCAGACAACTTTATCCCAACAAAGCAGCAGAACATGGACATATGAATACTGTGATCCTGCTTGTTTTGTTCAGTTTGTTTAATCCTCCAATGGTTGTTGTGTTCAGGAGGTAAAGGGCGCTGCATCAAACACAACCATCACTGGTACACGCCCACAGAGTTTGAGTGTTTGGCAGGAAGAGCGAGTAGCAAAGACTGGAAGAGGAGCATCCGATACGCCGGCAGACCTCTGCTCTGCCTCATCCAGGTACCAAAGTGAGCTGTTCTCAAATGCTGGGTTGTAGTCTGGACCTGCACCTCATTTCAGAAAGCAGGCTTAACAAACCCTGGGTTAACGCAGATGCTCTGAATCAACTTACCCCGCTCAGTGATACTTAGGATTTTCAGTTTCAGAACAGGTGATATCAACTGGGTAACTTAATCCTGAGTCAAGTTACCCTGAGTTAAGTTGGAGCAGGAAGCCCTCATCAATGGAAGTCAGATAACATGATGGCAATGAGAGAAAATAAGAAGACAGGAAGTCCATTTCTAGCGCTGAAACTAGAAATATTAAGGACAGCATATGGAGAATATCGACATACAGCGGGTAAAATAAGTATTGAACACGTCACCGTTTTTCTCAGTAAATATATTACTAGAGGTAATAATGACATGAAATTTTCACCAGATGTCGGTAACAACCCAAGTGATCCATACATACAAAGAAATCAAACCATAAATGTCCAGAAATGAAGTTATTTGTAATAATGTGGAATGGCACAGGGAAAAAGTATTGAACACATGAAGAAAGGGAGGTGTAAAAAGGCATGGAAAGCCAAGACACCAGCTGAACTCTCTCAGTAATTAGAAAACAAGCCTGCCCCTGGTCAGTGCAAGTTAATATCAGCTGGTTCAGTCCCAAATGATGGCCAGGTATCACACAAGAACCATCTGATGATGGGTAAAAGTAAAGAGCTCTCTCAAGACCTTCACAACCTTATTGTTGCAAAGCATAATGATGGCATCGGTTACAGAAGAATGTCTAAACTTCTGAAGGTTCCAGTGAGCACTGTTGGGGCCATAATTCAGAAGTGGAAAGAACATTATTTCACCATAAACTGACCACGACCAGGTGCTCCTCACAAGATTTCTGACAGAGGAGTGAAAAGAATTATCAGAAGAGTTGTCCAAGAGCCAAGGACCACTTGTGGAGAGCTTCAGAAAGACCTGGAATTAGCAGGTACGATTGTTTCAAAGAAAACAATAAGTAATGCACTGAACCACCATGGCCTGTATGCACGCTTACCACGCAAGACTCCACTGCTGAAGAAACAGCATGTTGAAGCTCCTTTAAAGTTTGCTGCACAACATTTAGACAAGCCTGTGTAATACTGGGAGAATATAGTCTGGTCAGATGAGACCAGCATTGAACTGTTTGGATGCCAGAATACACATCATGTTTGGAGGTCAAATGGCACTGCACATCAGCCCAAAAACACCATACCAACAGTGAAGTTTGGAGGTGGGAACATCATGGTGTGGGGCTGTTTTTCAGCATATGGTTCTGGCAAACTTGAAATAATTGAAGGAAGGATGAGTGGAAAAATGTACAGAGACATTCTTGATAAAAATCTGCTTCCATCTACCAGGATGATGAAGATGAAACGTGGCTGGACATTTCAGCAAGACAATGAGCCCAAACACAAAGCCAAGGAAACTCTCAGTTGGTTTCAGAGAAAGAAACTAAAGCTGCTGGAATGGCCCAGCCAATCACCTGACCTGAATCCAACAGAAAATCTATGGAAAGAACTAAAGATCAGAGTTCATAGAAGAGGTCCAGGAAACCTTCAAGATTTGAAGACTGTTTGTGGAAGAATGGGCCAAAATCACACCTGAGCAATGCATGCCACTAGTTTCTCCATACAGGAGGCGTCTTGAAGCTGTCATTGACAACAAAGGCTTTTGTACAAAGTATTAGATAAATTTCAGTAAGTGTGTTCAATACTTTTTCCCTGTGCCATTCCACATTATTACAAATAACTTCATTTCTGGACATTTATGTTTGATTTCTTTGTATGTATGGATCACTTGGGTTGTTACCGACATCTGGTGAAAATTTCATGTCGTTAGCACCTCTAGAAATATATTTACTGAGAAAAATGGTGACGTGTTCAATACTTATTTTACCTGCTGTATATTTAAAAAAATAAAAAACACAATGCCGTCGCTGCTGCAAGAGAAAGAGAGTTAGTGTGGGCAGATAACTGCAGATCAAGTCAATGATTATGATTTTACATGAATCAAAACTTTTATTTATATTTAGTTTTACCTTTTATTCTTTATTCAAGTGGATAAAAGTGAGTGTGTGTGCATTATGTGTGTGTGTAACTGAACCCAGCTGGTACTAAATGGACCTGGCAGCAAATAAAGATTAAAAATGAAAGCATAGTAAAATCAGATAAGCTCTTATGTTCAACCTTTAACAAATAAATTACACATTTCGCTATAGCTTCAACACACAAAATTATTGTGTCCCCCTGAAAAAAAAAGTGAATTATTTCATCTTCTCTCTGCCAATATTTAATATAAGTTTATTTTACTTTTCATTGAGAATCAGAATGACTGTTAATTTTTCGATGGACGATCAGTTGCAGAGGCTCCAGCTCCTCTGGAGCTCAGCTTTCTTTGTAATTTTTGTTTCAGAAATTTATTTCATTTAAAAACTGAATAGATTCTATATACAATAAAATAAAAATATATACTTCTGTAAAAATTTAAACCTTTGATCGTAACTTCATTAGAGAGCAGAAATGTAAATGAAATTATATAATTTTTCTGTCCCTAAAGCTTGCTGTGGAAAAAGCTACAAGCTGGACTTGAAGAAAAAGATAGAAACCTGAGCAATTAAAAACATGTAAAAATGCTCAAACAGGTTCATCCAGAAAAACGTCTAATCTTGGTCTTATCTCTCTCTCCTGACACAAATGTCTGTGGATTATTACACTCCCAACATCTACAGGCTCCTTTAGAAAAGGACACGCTCTGCCTGACACTTTCCTCATGCCGGGTCTCAGTTAAAAGTTCAGCCTAACTCAGGATTTGTTCCAGTAATCCTGCTGCAGAGCAGGGCTGGTTCAAAGAGTAAGTTGTGGGTGTAAGTTAACTCAGGATAACTGCTATCTGGCTTTCTGAAACCCCAAACCCAGGATAAAAACATAGTTACCCCTGAACTTATTCAGGATTTCCACTTATCCTGCTTTCTGAAACGGGATTCTGATTCTATTCAGCTTCTGCTGTTGTTGACGGTTTTCTTTATTTTTCCTATCTATTATTA